AGATTTCCTCATCCTCCTGAAGATCCCTCCACAGACTCCTGGATGTTGGGTGATTGTTCATTTCTGGGCTTTAATTTCTGGACTGGTAGGCAGACATCCACTGAGCCTTTGGACACAGCAGCAAACCCACCGCCCCGTACTTTGACAGTTCCAGGCTTCCAGGCATTATCAGTGTCATCCTTCCACCATATCGGCTGACATGAAGATTGCAATATGTGGGTCTTTCCAATGTTTATCTGCTACTGAAGGATTGCATACAGAAGTGGAATTTCAATATTAAGGGCATTTAATGCCATTGCTATTTTGTGAGAGCTCCCAAAACTCAAGCTATGAGACCCAAAAGGATAGGGAGGATGCATTGCCACCTCCCACATGAACCCTCAGAGCACTGAGACTTTCCTGAAAAGGTCACTCAGTCTTGACTTGATGGGAATGCAGATTTCTATGCGGGTGTAAGCTAATTTCACACCAGGCTTTCTGGAAGCTTGGGCTAGAGAAGCTCAATTACTGCTTACATTGTCCTCTTAAGATAAAGAAGTCATTATCACTGGCATGGGATTATACCACGTGGTTGGTGCTAGGGACTCACTCTCTGAGGTAAGCCCTGCACCCTACTCAATAAATACCTTGTAAAATGGCCCCAGGGAACCTGAAGCTGGTGGAAGGCTTCAGAAGCCCCAGGCATCCCAAACCTGATTCCAGACCTGTGTCCATTACTGTCCTGTCCCCAGGCACTGCATATTGCAACATGTGTGAACATAAATGACCACTCTGGACTGAACATTCCAGAACCTAGACAAAACACCATTAAGAATTGATAAATGCTTGAGGATATAACTGTGTTTAACAGGATCTAAACAGTATACAACAGATACATGCAGTAAACCTTACAGGCTGCCCACTCTGTTTAGTGTCAGTTCAAATAACAGATCAGGAAGAGCATCGTGAAAGTTAAGGCTCAACTTGTGGAGGGGCTGCTGGTGTTTAGGCCCTGCTCAGGAGAGGGCTCAGCCCACATGCTCCAGATGACCGAGCCCCCGAGAGTGTCAGGTTCTGGGAAAAAGGGAGGGACGGTGATGGTGCCCTGCTCCTGCTGAGATGGTGACATTTGGTGTCCTTCTCACCACTTTGCTAAAACTTCTCAAGGTCGGAAAGTTTTGTAATTATTTCTATTTCCTTGGCGTAACATTGACAATTAAAACGATGCATATTCACACTTAGAGTGCAACGTGACAATGCACACAAATGCTATGGAACCATTGTCAACGCAGAGCTAAGGATCGTACACCACGTACAGGTTCCATTCTTTGACAGTGAGGAAGCTTGCGGTCTGCTGACTTACACGTTTTCCCAAATACAGACCACACAGGTGTCAAAAGCCCTACTTTGACTTTCTGTGCTGCATTACCACACTTCACGTGAACTCCCCAGAGTCATCTATGTTGTCACAAATGCCAGGACTTCCTCCTTCTCATGGATGGAATCTCCTGTTTTGCAAAGACACCACATTTCCTTTCTCCATTCCTTCTCTCATGGACACCTGGGTTAATCTCCTGGCTTGCTGATGTAAACAATGCGACAGCAACCGAAGATAAAAAACAAATATGCCACTGGAAATTACTGGAGTTTGGAATCGATGGCATTTCTAATGTTTGTGTGCTCATGGACCGTGGGATAACTTCCAGTCACGTTCTTACTTATATTGTCACTGTCAGCCTACCTGCTTTACATGACCCAGCTTGGCCCCCAACACTCCACTCGGTATCTCTCATGTTTTATAGCATTTTTATTGTGCACTTTTGCAAAAACAGGGACCTTGCCCTCTCCCTCTGCTTTCTCACTCAAGGCTGGTTCTCTACCATTTGAGTCAGGCCTCAATTTTCTTTTCCCTTTTGTATCCATGACTAGGACTCAAAGTCAGAACCTGATGCTTTCTCTCATTGACTAACCACCTAAAAATTGAGCCGTGCCCCGAACACCAGGGTTGATGATTTTTTTTCATTTCCTTCATTTCAGGGTTTTTGCTAGTTAACAGGTCCTCAGCCCGTGTGTCCCACAGCAGAGCTGGCAGTCCCTCTGTGAGCACACCTGATGTTACCTGCTGACGGCTCAGCTTTCTTCCCCAGCAGGAGAGCTGCACACAGGTCAGAGCTCAGTGCCACAGTTTCTCCACCCTGACTGCTTCTCTGCCATGTCCTGGGTCCCAGGAACTCCCTGTCGCTTCTCCTTTCCTCTCTTCCTCAGAATCTACTCATCTTTGTGTCAGTGGATTCTTGTTCATGGACAAAAGTGTTGTTCACGTTCAGCTCACCATCTTGTCCAGCACTAGGAATCACTGTAACCAATGAATCAAAAGACTGATGCAAAGAAACTATCAAAGGGTTAATAAAACAATTTGAAGAAGACACTAGTCACTTGTTGATAGTTACCAAATACTCATTTACCTATGTTTTGTTATGAGTGTGACTCACTGAGGTTATTACAAGTTCATAATACACATGATTTCGTCGCAAATACACAATACATATTAATGAGAAAAATAGATTGAAACAAATGATACACCAGAGCCCACTATCAAGCCTCTGCCTGAACTCTGGCCATCCTGGTTGGTGGTCAGAATGAAGTAAAATGCGGCAAGGCCACACCTGATCTCGGCTCAGGAAGGAGGCTCTGCAGAGCTCACAGATGAGCTCCATTCTTCCGGAACACACCAGAGACTGTGGGCCCTCCTTGGCTGTGCAGGCCGAGACCAGGCATGGGGCTCATACCACGGGAGATGCTGCCAGTGTGGAAACAAATTCACCATTGTTTTACACTCTTGCGTGTGCACAAGGAGGTCACATGCATGTTGAACTTTGTGTTTTGTGTGTGATCAGAAATGCTGACAGAACGATCACCAGGCACAATGGCAGAGTGAGAGGACATGTGTGTCCCTCTGCACCCCAGACAACTCTCAATGTCCTCACACTCTGCCTCAGGCTCCCAAGGAGCTGCAGGTACAGTGTGAACCACAGCACGTAGTCAGTGCATCATGATGTCTCCAAGGTGACCATTGTCACCAAACTCCTCCAGCACAGTCACCTCTGCTCTGGGAGCCCAATCTCTAGACTTCCCCCCAGAGCTGCTTTATAGCAGAGGACATGCAAATAGGATGTCCCTCTGCCCATGAAAACCAGCCCATCCCTGACCTGAGCTCTGTGAGCTGATTCCACCAGTGACTGAGCACAGACCACCACCATGGAGCTGGGGCTGCGCTGGGTTCTCATTGTTGCTCTGTTGAAAGGTGATTCATGGCGAGCAAGGGATACTGAGTGTGCAAATGCACATGAGTGGGAAGAACAGTGGAAGTGTGTGACCATTGCTGACCAGGATTCTCTGTGTTTGCAGGTGTGCAGTGTGAGGTGCGGCTGGTGGAGTCTGGGGGAGGCTTGGTGCAGCCTGGGGGGTCCCTGAGACTCTCCTGTGCAGCCTCTGGATTCACCTTCAGTGATTACTACATGTACTGGGTCCGCCAGGCTCCAGGAAAGGGGCTGGAGTGGGTTGGTTATATTAGAAAAAAAGCTAATGGTCACACAACAGAATATGCTGCATCTGTGAAAGGCCGGTTCACTGTCTCCAGAGATGATTCCAAAAGTATGACTTACCTGCAAATGAACAGCCTGCAAGTAGAGGACACGGCTATGTATTACTGTGCCAGAGACACTGTGAGGGAACTTCAGTGGTAGCCCAGACACAAACCTCCTGCACGGGTGCTCAGGAGCAGAGAGCACAGAACACAGAAAGCACAAGACCCTCAGGAGCAGAGAGCTCAGCACACAGGAAGTACAGGACCTCAGGAGCAGAGAGCTCAGCACACAGGAAGCACAGGACCTCAGGAACAGAGAGCTCAACACACAGGAAGCACAGGACCTCAGGAACAGCAGGCAGGGTCAAAGGCCGGCTGCCTGAGCGTTGGGGGTTCGTCTCTGTCCAACAGTGGTTAAGGATTGCTGTCTAGATTTAGGATCCACCTCTCCTGTGATGTCCACAACACAGCCAGGCCCTGCCTCCATTTTCCTCGCTAGTTAATCATGATGTAAAGGAGTGTCAGCATAGGAGCTCAGAGGGCATGTATTACACTGTAGGTGGATTAATTCCGTCTGTTATTCTTTCCACATTCTCCTTATCCCTCTATTTTTCTACAGCGTTTGTGAGCTGCCTTATACCATCTTCATGCACAGACACAACATATTTTCATATTATTTGATCTTGAACATACTCCATCCTCTTTGTCCTCATTCTAGTTTAGGATGTGTCCACTCAGAAGAACAGAGCAAGTGAAGCAGGAAGTGGATATTAAGTTGGGTCCAAATACTTGATATGCCTGAATACAAATAGAAAATGGAACCTGATGAGATTGTTGAAGGAGGAAGGGAGGAGGTGGAGGCCGGAGGAGCTGCGTTTGTCAGGGGACACCATGTGCGGGTATGGAGAGTTATAATGTGGTTCCTTGTACAACCAACACAGGCCAATAACCCTAAATTACAGAGAGTTCTGGATTCTGCTGTGAATTTAAAATGATAACAAACCTCGTCCCATGAATGAAACATACACCATCCTTGTGTTGACGGAGGTGACTGACTTGGTCAGCAGAATCTCATCCTGAGGAAAGTAGAGTCTCTGCTGAAGCCCTGGTGAAGCCCGGCAGACGTGTCTGGGTTTTCCTGGTCAGCACAGAGCTTGGAATGCACATGTTGAACAGATTAGAGCCGTGTCACTGACCATGAGCCTCACTGGTCTCTCGGCCTTTCCAGGCCTGTAGAGCTGGACACATGGAGGACAGAATTTGACCCAACTGACTTTTTAACTAGTTTAGTTTCTCACGCAGTGACACTCATTCTCACACATCTCCTTCTCTGTCCACTGGACAATGCACATTGTGGGCGAGGTGCTGTAAGCGCAGGCTCAGCCTCCTGTGTGGAGTCAGGTGTCAGCGTGCTTCCGGGCTTTGGGAACAGTCAGTGGGAATTCTCAGTGTATTCCCAGGATGTCTCCTGTCTGTGCAGGATCTCCAGAAAATGACAGCTAGCAGTGGGGCTGTCACAGACGGGGTGTGACACGGGTGCAGTCACAGACCTCAGCTGTGGGCTCCACTCCCATGGAGTGGCCTAAGTCTCCTGTGGCTCCCAGCTGACTGCCCTGGGCCCGGCTCTGGTCCCAGGAGCAGCTGACGGGGCTCACGGCAGCCTGGGCTGTGGGGTGGGGACAGTGACTGCAGCTGTGTGTGGCCACTGCTTCCAGCTGACCTCTGACCTTTACAGAGATGTGCACTCACATGTTCTAGAGAACTGGGGAAAAGTTATCTTATTGCTTCATGGAGGCAAAATTACTACAGATGTACCACATGTGCTCGTGTATAAAATAACTACGTATATTACATGTAACATTAATATAGGCACCATTGTCCATGCTCTCCTCAATGCTAGGCAAAGGTCTCAGCTGGTTTTACTGCTGCAGGGAGAAACCTGAGACCTGAGAACGAGGAGTCCGCGGCTCAGGACAGCGGTAGCACCTTCTCTCTGCTAACTGCCATCCTGCGGGCTGTGGTGTCAGTCAGCCACAGAGCATTGCACCAGATCCGGGACAGACCAGTGCTGCACAACTCAGCACGGGGGATGAGCTCAGTCAGCAACCGATCTCAGGATAGAGTTCCATGGTGCCACAGCCACAGAACCTCTCCTGCAGCACAGATTGTCTGTAAAGCCACACAAGGTAGAGACAGGACCAACACTGGATGTGGATGTTGTGTCTGATAATCTGCACATGCACTTACACAGGGAAGGGGGAAAGACTGTCATTTCCATCACTGATGAGTCTGTGGGAGAAGAAGACCCTTCTAAGCTCAGTACAGATTCCGTGGTGGCAACATTCTTGCCAAGGCCACAATCCATATGGTGCAAGGCAAAGGCCGAGATCTGACCAACGTTCAGTGTGGATGTCGTGTCTGATAATCCCACACACACACATACAGAGGGAGGAAAGGGTTGGTGACATTTCAGAAAGACCAGAGAAGCCTCTCAGGAAACTGTGAAATGACTTGGGAAAGCCTAGAAAGGACAGGTCCATGGGTTTTCATCTCAGCCTGTGGCAGAGGAAGATTAGTTTCTCCTCTGCACACACAGCAGGTTAGAACCCCTCACTGAATGCATGAGAGGATAGAACCAGCACCCCCTTAATCCATGTCCACCAGTGACACACAGGGAAGGGAGAGAAGTGAACTTGGCGCTGCCAGAGTCTGACGTTAAAATGTAGACTACACGCTCATTCCTGTGACTGTACTTTTACTCCATATGACAGTAACAGCACAAAATAAAGATGTAAAGGCACAAAGAGATTGCTGGGAGCCACCTCTTCAGCAACATGAAATAATGCCAAAAGAGTAAAGCTTCATTATAAGGATAGTAGGGATAATGTGTCGCTACCGCCTCGACCACCAAGGAAGACGCGACACCGAACTCTTCTCTCTGCAGTTTATTCAGGACCTTTGAGCAATCTTCTGACCCCAACCCCAGGGAGAATTCCCCACAGCCTTAAGTACCCGCTGGGTAGCCAACCCTGATACGTCACGTGGGAACCACCAATAGGTTCAGGTGCGCAGAAGCAAGCCAGATTCTTTGCCTTAGCCATATAAGGAGTTGTTTACCACAGAGAGCACTCGCCATCGGGAAGGTGGAGGGCGGAAGCCGGCGCCATCTTCCAGGTGCGGCCTCTCGCAGCTCTCTACAGTTCCCCCTTTTTTGTTTAACGAACACAGAT